CAACACCAAAATCAGATTGATTATATTCTTTGCAGCCAAAGATGGAGAAGCTCTATACAGTCAGCAAAAACAAGACCAGGAGCTGACTGTGGCTCAGATCATGAATAATTGAGTATTACTTAACCATAAAAAGGAAAAAACCTGCCATTTGCAGACATAGATGGACCAAGAGACTGTCATACTAAGTGAAATAAGTCAGAAAAAGAAATACCATATATAAATGCAAATATGTGGAATCTAGGAAAATGGACAGATGAACCTATTTGCAAAGCAGAAATAGAGACACAGATGTAGACAACAAACATGGACACCAAGGGAGGGGGAAAGGGGGTGGGATAAATTGGGAGACTGGGATGGACGTATTATATACTATTGATACTACGTATGATGTAGATAAGTAATGAGAACCTTCCATGCAGCACAGAGAGCTCTTCTCAGTGCTCTGTGGTGACCTAAGTGGGAAGGAAATCCAAAAAAGAGAGGCTTTATGTATATGTATGAATATAACTGATTGACTTTGCTTACAGCAGAAACACAACATTGTAAAGTAGCTACACTCTAATAACAATTAAAACAAAAACTAAAGGTAGAATAATGTACACTAATCTCCACCTTGCTCTTTTTGCCTAAAGATACATTCTTGGAGATCTTTCCATATTAGCACACAGAAGATCGCTCTATACTTTTAATGGTTTCGTGTTATTTCATTATCTAACTAGTCTCTGATTAATGCCCATTTAGGTTGTTCTAGACTCTGCTATCCCAAATAATGCTGTAATAAATAGTCCTATCCCAAATATCCCTATTTTCTATACAAGAACTATCTGTAGAATAAATTCCTTGAAGCAGACTTGCCAAGTCAAAGATCTTGGGTGCTCTAAGTTTGGATAAGAGTTTGACACATTGCTGTCTTCTGGGTTGGTACCAATTTATATAGTGCTCAGTTGTGCCTGACTCTTTGTGACCTCCTGTAGTCTGCCAGGCTCCTCTGACCTCTTGCCTCTGAAAATTCCTCTAAGGAGTTTTCCAGGCAAGAATACTGGAGTGGGTTGCCATGCCCTCCTCCAGGGGATCTTCTCGACCCAGGGATCGAACCTGCATCTCCTGCATTGGCAGGTGGATCTTTCACCACTGACCCACCTGGGAGGCCCTACCAATTTACAGACCCCGCCAGCAGTGGATGAGAGTCCCTTACACTTTCACACACAAGGCATAGCAGTTAAAAACGTCTCTGCTAATGGCGACTGGTCTGTTGTTATAGCTTTAAATTTTAATTTCTCCTATTAAGAGGAGTGGTGACTATCTTTTCACATGTTTGCATATCTACTTGTGTGTCTTTCTTAAAGCAAAAAGGAATCAGAGTGAATTCTTTTAGTATTCTTTAACTTGCCCTTTTACCTCCTAAATTCCCCCTACATACACACACACACATACCATTTATTCAATCATTTTATTCCTTCCACAAAAGCATTTTGCTAAGGTATTCCAGCAGATTCTAAATGAACTTAAAAGCTTCCTAGCTTTGAGGGGCAATGAGATATTAAGCCTTGCCTATGGTATTATTCAATGTTTAAAAGCTTAGAAACTTAATTTGGTAACTTTAAAAGATGCTGAGAAATTTATTCAGAGATTTAAGAACTGAAAATAACCTCTGGCTTCCCTATGAGACGTTTAAGTACAAATGTTTGGAAACTACAAGAAACAGAACAACCAGCCTCATAGTGGGTTCGTGACAACTTTTCAAACGTAGTTGTGTTACCAATATTTAATTTTCCATTGAGGTCTGCTAAGTTCATAAGCATACCAACTCTCAAATGGATTACGATGAATCCCAATTTTGACAAGGAGTGAAGGAAGAATCTTGTCTCCTGAAGTAATTCTGGGATGAAGATGGTTGTGGAAGACGGACCATGGAACTTTTGCAATAATCTATTTTATTTTGCAATAAAATAAAAAGGAGTGAGTTGGAAAGTGGCCTGCACCAATGAGAACAGTGCTGGGCTCAAGGCTGCCAACCTGACCAGCTGTGGCTATATGATAAAAAGTTGGTATTCTAAAACCACAGGTTTCCAACTGAATCAGGCCTGCCCTCCAACAAGTGGGAACTCACTTAGGAACCTAAACAATGGCTGGTGATATTGGCTTTAGGAGTGAGCTGCTCAAAAGCTGACTGCAACCTCTGAGCTTGGGTGTAGCCTGCAAACAAAGTGGACAAATAATCACACTGGGAGATCTAGTTATTGCTTTTGGGAGAATTCCCTGAAATTAATATATCTTTGCCTTCATTCTGAGGCTAGTCCATCTTTTCAGAGATGACTCCTCTAATCTCCTGCCTACTCTAAATTAAAATATGGCTGTTGGTGTGGCAGCTGAGCCAATAGAGGGATCTAGGGAGTGTAGTTTCTAGCGTAACACTTCTCTCCTTGTCTCCACTAAGCCTCATGTTTCCAAGACAGGTGCCTCTCTGGTATAGTTTCTCCAGAAAGAAAACTATTTTCTCGAGCTCCAAAATCACTGTGGATGGGGACTGCAGCCACAAAAGTAAAAGACGCTTGCTCTTGGGAAGAAAAGCTATGTCAAACCTAGACAGCGTATTAAAAAGCAGAGACATCACTTTGCCAACAAAGGTTTGTAGAGTCAAAGTTATGGTTTTTCTAGTAGTTATGAAGGGATGTGAGAGTTGGATTATAAAGAAGGCTGAGTGCCAAAGAACTGATGTTTTTGAATTGTGGTGTTGGACAAGACTCTTGAAAGTCCTTTGGTCTGCAGGGAGATCAAACCAGTCAATTGTGAAGGAAATCAACCCTGCATATTCATTGGAAGGACTGGTGCTGAAGCTGAAGCTCCAACACTTTAGCCACCTGATGTGAAGAGCCGCCTAATTGGAAAAAACTCTGATGCTGGGAAAGATTGAGGGCAAGAGGAGAAGGGGGCAACAGAGGATGAGATGGTTGGATGGCATCACTGCCTCAATGGACAAAATTTGAGCCAACTCTGGGAGATAGTGAAGGACAGGGAAGCCTGGCATGCTGCAGTCCATGGGGTTGCAAAGAGTCAGACATGACCTATCAGCTGAACAACAGAAGGTAAACTTGGCAGGATGATGAGAGGGCAAGGCATCCAGTATCTACCTGTTCCCCATACAGACTTCCAATTCAGTGCTGTTGTCTTGCCCCTTTCACACCTGCTTTCAGAGAGACACACTTCAGTTCACTGTGACTGTGGTTCTACAACCAGAATCAGCATGCTTCCTTTATCATCACCCTCTGCAGAAGCACATGTTTCATTTTCCCGGCTCTGCTAAGTCCATGTCCCTGGAGCCCTCTCTCCCCCCACCTCTTTCTCATTAGTGACCAAGGTCTTTGGATCTACCTCTTTAATACCTCTCCTCATTCTCTCTCTTCCATTCCCATTTCTAATGCCTCAGTATAAGCCCCTATCTTTTTTTTCCAGGTCAACTGTAATTTAAAGACATCTCTGTCTAGGAGTCCCATCTCCTGGTATTCAATTGAACACTCACCCAGGTAATATTGCAAAGGGATTTTGCAGATGTAATTAAGATTACTAATCAGTTGACCTTAAGAAAGGGAGCAATTCCAAAAAACAAAACAAAACAGAAAGGGATTAATTCCAAGCATGAGAAGTATTTGACACATCATTGCTGATTCTGAGACATAGGGGCCTATGTGCTAGAACTAAAAAAGTCTCTAGAAGCAAAGGGTGGCCCCCCTGTCAATGGTCAGCAAGGAAACCAAAGTCCTACAGCCAGAAGAAACTGAATTCAGTCAACAACCTGAATAAATGTGGAAAAGTATACTTCCCAGACTATCATTAAGAACCTAGCCAGCTAGTATCTTTTTTTCAGTCTATAAAATCCAGAACAGAGAAACAAGTAGGGTCAACTTAGGCTCCTGACTTAAAAAATTGAGAGATAATAAATTCCTGTTATTTTCAGCTGCTAAGTTTGGGGTAATTTGTCAGGGCAGCAACGGGAAGCTAATGCCACCTGTCTCCCACTTCAAGTCTTGCCCTTTCAGTCTAATCTTTCAACTGGGGACAGGGGGAGCTCTTAAAAAATACAAATCTGACTACTTACTCCATTGCTTCTTAACACAGCTTTATCTTTAATAGATCACCTATATATGATATTTATAAATAATACTGTGTATCTGACTTAGGCTTGCACTGATTTTATGACTTTTGCTTTTACACTCTGACCAGCTGTCTTTCTTAGGTGGTGCTTCCATGTCTGCTGAAGAAGAAATAATAGGATGTGTTAGAAGTATGGAGAATCCCAGGGATGGGGTCCCACAGAGTCGGACACGACTGAAGTGACTTAGCAGATAGGTTATTACTTTCTAATTTGCTATAGGTTTACCCCCTACTCCATCCTTTTCTAGTTTTATACCTGACCTCATTCATTCATGTATGGTTCCTTGCTTTATTTTTAGTCACATGAGTCTGTAATCTCAGCAGGAAGTATAAAGTCCCTACAGTCTCCACAAATCCCCTAACCATATGGTCTAGAGTCAGCAGTGGCACCAGTGACGTTGTGAAACAGGCAACTGTTTGGAAGAGTGGCCCTGTTCACTGCAGGATTTTGGGTAGTACCCCAGACCTCATCCCAGTAGAGGGTCTCAGCGGTATCCCCTAATTATGACAATCTAAGAAATGACCCCCAAGATTGCAACCACAGAAGAAACTGCCTCCAGCTGAGAACCATGTGTTAGAAAAACCTGATAGCAGTTCCTAAGCTATCTTCCCCAACACTATGTCACTAATAGCAATTACATATACTTGTGTCTCCATCCTTTTTTTTTTTTTTTTACAGGCTTCCCAAGTGGCACCAGTGATAAAGAATCTGCCTGCCAATGCAGGAGATGTGGGAGACGTGCGTTCAATCCCTGGGTCGGGAGGATCCTCTGGAGGAGGGCAGGGCAGCCTACTCCAGTACTCTTGCCTGGGAAATTCCATGGGCAGAAGAACAGTGAGCTTTGCAGTCCATGTGGCTGCAAAGAGTTAGACAAGACTGAGTAACTGAACACAGCAACCTTTTAATACACTTACTTTTACCCTTAACGATTTTCTATGTTCTCACATACGATATTTTGAGACAGCGGAAGAGGTCTTCACAGCATGAGGATTTAATGTACTTAACCAATTGTATTGGATACAGTTAATGGATTTTTGTCACCCATGTGCATGGAAAAAGCTAGAGATGATAAAAATGCTGGATGTGAGGATGAAGAGAGATTACAGGTATATGGAGACGGCAAGAGCTAAAGAAAGGGCCTCTTCCTGCCAATAGTGCTGCTTGGTTCGGTGCTTTGTGATCTCTTCCAAAACGAGAGCTGGGCTATAGAACAGCCGCCTGCTTTTCCTCAGTATCTTTGCTTCATGCTGACAAAGAGTCTGCAGAGACTAGGGATTTCAGATCACACAAGGGGATGTCTCTGTGAGGTAAAGATGCTGCTGCTGCTGAGAAAAGGGAGCGTGTAGAGATTTGAAAGGCACCTGTCACGATGAAGGTGAAAGTCACAAATCCGAGATAGTCAACCTTTCCTATTGCTTTGCTTCCAACCATGGGCATGATAACTGCCACCGTCCCCTAGTAGGGGCTTCCCACGTGGCCCAGTGGTAAAGAACCTGCCTGCCAATGCAGGAGATACAAGAGACATGGGTTCAATTCCTGGGTTGGGAAGATCCCCTGGAGGAGGAAATGGCAACCCACTCCAGTATTCTTGCCTGGAAAATCCCACGGACAGAGGAGCCTGGTGGGCTACAGTCCGTGGGGTCACAAACAGTCGGACGCAACCGAGCACACATGCACAGCCTACTTGGGCAGTGGTACATCAAACAGAAGCAGCTGCCACGCTGTATCACACCCAAGATTCACGTCCCAAGAGCACAATCAACCTGTGAGTCTGGCCTCTCTCTTGATGGCAGGACTCATAGTGAGCAAGATCCAGACACTTTGATTTTCCCCAGCAGATGTGATCAAATTCACAAAATATCTAATTATATTGCTACAAAATACGCTTTTTATGTATCATATTCCCTTAATCCATCAGAATTTTGTTAGTGGTTACATAAAATGTCTGACACTCCTACAGAAATAACTATGACAAACAATAAAATACAAAATGAAGAAAGGCAACTCATACCTCTTAGCGCTGTTTTGTTTGGTTTGCTGCTTTGCGATCTCTTCCAGAGCCAGAACTGGGCTGCGGAACAGCTGCCCGCTTTTCCTGACGATCCTCTGCTTCATGGCAGTTAGACTACTCCATTCTCGAACAAACCTCAAGATCTGGTGGAAAATGAGATAATGAAAAAAGTGTACAGTTTGCCAGGCATCTTCCTTTGAAAGCAAGGCTACGTATAGCATCTGAAAACGGATGTTTTATTATAACCCCAAACAGGCTTTGAGTCTCACGGTTTAAGGTTTTCTTCAGTTTGATGCAGTTTTCCTACCTTTGTTGTGAACCATCCATGGCCAGTTCTGCAGAGGTCTCTTTCAAGCCATCAGCTCTCTATAGGCACCATTTAGGACACTCGGCACATGTCCTTCACGCACAGAGACCAACAGCAGTAATGTGCTCACTGACACCAAAAACGCACACACCCCAACGGCGGCCAAGGCAAAACTGGATTTTGGGGGCAGTGGATCTTGCGGGGGTGAGTGTCAGGGCATCGTTTGTACCTGACTGCCTAAACTCTCACGGGAAAAAAGACGTCAATAATAAATCTGGGATATTTCACTAGTTACTCTTACTTACTAGTCAGTTATACATAATTGGCTATTTTCTGGTAATCTGAGCATCAGCATTAGATGACACCAAAGAAAACAGCTCACGGCTACCTTTTCTTTTAAGATGGGTGCAGCCGACCATGGCCAATGTTTTCATTTCTGCTCAAATGCAAAAACATCATCACTGTATTCTTGTAAACAGCACTATGATGCATGCTGGCTCAGCCCCCACACATGCTGACCCTCCTTAGCAGTGAAGATCAATCAGCACAGATCAGAACTAAGGCCTCCCCAGCAGGTACGTGGCCTGTGGCTGCACCCTGGTGCTTCCCATAAGGAATGGAGTCCCCCCACATGGTGTTATCCCTGCTCTCAGAGCTCGTCAGTGTTAGAACTTAACCTACAAAGATAAAGTGTGATTCTGTCAGATAGCAACCTCACAGCTGCTAATCCTGTGAATGAGAAAATAAATGATGTGAGGATGAGTCTATCCACAGAAACAGCAACCCGAGGTGTGATCGTTCACCAGGGTAACAGATTTCACGTTTATCCTGGTAAATTCACAGGCACTGCCTGGACTGATTAAAGTGCACCCAGTGATCTGACTCTGCAGCAGGCCACAAGCTGCTCTGCTTTTATCAAACTCAAAAATGGTCTTTAAAATTACTCAACAAATTTTCATTCAGAACAAATATGCAGGACGGTTCTTACCAGGGAGCGATTTTGTTTCAGCTGAAAGCTTGCTGGTAAATCTTCCCACAGGTCTAATTTTATATCCAAAGGAATGAAATTACAGTTCATCTGGTTTCCATCCTGATTATAGATGAGGAAGGCAGTATTAATCCATTTTGTCTGTAGGCACTAATAATTACTTTAAAAGTAAAGAATGCTATTATTGCATTTCATGCCCAGTCTTCTACACTGATAAACTGAGGCAGCTCATTCCAGACAAGATTTCACCCGTACTGCCCCCATTGAGAGGAAACGGAGCCCAGGAGGGGGCCAGGCCCTCTGAGAGCCCCCGCTACATCTGGTCTAAGGGAAAAGCATACCACGGAGAGAGGTGTCCTCAGTCAAACATGAAGCATTTCTGTTATGAAGTGAAAGAAGAATCTCTGTATATAGAAATCTACTGTATAAACAAAAGTTTAACCCATATTCTGTCTCATTCTCTCAGCCAGAAAGAAATGTTACAGTTACCACAATCACTTTGGGGAAGGAAAAATACACAAGAAGTACTTAGATAGTGATTAAAAGTTCAGATGTGTAATTGTTATTCTGGCTGGGGTTCTGGCTGAAGTGAACTCCCATCAGACGTGGGGTTCTGGCTGAAGTGAACAGTTTAGAGGTATACTATTAACATGACGTAAGATGCTAAACATCTGTTACTGCTCTTCCTTTTAAAGGGTGCTCTTTCAGGCACTGAATGGGGGTTTTTATACGAATTTCTGTTTCAAGATTTTATTTCAGGTCTCCTAAGGTGAAGAGAGGAGAAGGCAATGGCACCCCACTCCAGCACTCTTGCCTGGAGAATCCCAGGGACGGGGGAGCCTGGTAGGCTGCAGTCCATGAGGTCGCTAAGAGTCTGACATGACTGAGCGATTTCACTTTCACTTTTCACTTTTGTGCATTGGAGAAGGAAATGGCAGCCCACTCCAGTGTTCTTGCCCGGAGAATCCCAGGGACGGGGGAGCCTGGTGGGCTGCTGTCTGTGGGGTCACACAGAGCCGGACACGACTGAAGCGACTTCGCAGCAGTGAGGTGAAGAGAAAAGCTTTCTTCTGAACTCTCCTGTGAAAATCCCTGTTGACATTTCACCTGCCTAGTGTCTCAAGTTTAGAACACTGATTGAATAATGCTTCATGGCAAGGGGACACGTGCGCATTTAGAAGAGCGGTAAAAATGCACTCGAGACTGTCGAGAGGTCAGGAGGCGGCTGCAGCACGTGCTCGGGGGCAGGCTCACTGCGTCTCACGCTGCTCAGGGCTTCTCGTACGGATGTGAGCTGGACCATAAAGAAGGCCGAGCGCCGAAGAATTGATGCTTTCAAACTACGGGGTTGGAGAAGACTTGAGAATCCCTGGGACAGCAAGGAGATCAAACCGATCAATCATGAAGGAAATCAACCCTGAATATTCATTAGAAGGACTGGAGATGAACCTGAAGCTCCAATACTCTGGCCACCTGATTCGAACAGCCAACTCATTGGAAGACTCTGATGCTGGGAATGATTGAGGGCAGGAGGAGAAGGGGGTGCCAAAGGACTTAATGGTTGGATGGCATCACTGATTCAGTGGACCTGAGTTTGAGCAGAGTTCTGGGAGATGGTGAAGGACGTGGAAGCCTGGCATGCTGCAGTCCATGGGGTCACAAAGAGTAGGACATGACTTAGCAACTGAACTACAACGAAGGCACACTCTACCCTCTGCCATCTGCAGTTTCTCTCCAGTCTCCACCAGAGGAGGAGATACCCTGACATGATGATCCAGGATGCAGAGCTTTCACTGTACACAGTATGAAGTTTAAGGGCTTCTCAATTCATGTGTGTGCTCTGCCTGGGGTCTGCCTTCTGGGTTCTTGACCTTCTAGCCCCTGGGGGAGCCATTCTCTGTTATTCTCAGGTGATGGTCTCACGAGGGGCAGGAGGTGTCTCAGACACTTAGACCTGTCTCTAGAGGAGCGGAGGGCTTCTTGGTGCTCCCCAAGTCTAGAAGTTCCACCTGGCGGACCAAGCCTGAAGCCTTTTAGGGAAACTTGTCCTGCCTATCTTCATTCTTGATGTCGCTCTTGGCAGTGGTCCCAGAGTGGAGGCTGCTTGGAGCTTTTGGTATTCATGATCCTAGCCGTCTCCTAATCTTCTAGCAGTATCTCCTAATATTCAGTTAGAACTGAAGATTATTACATGGTACACCATCTCTCTGTATCTAATTATTTGGTTTAGCAGAAAACCTATAATTGAGTTTGGGCAGGCCCAACCTAACTTATCTTTAAAATGACATTATTTCAATAGAATGGCCCATGTGTTTAAAAACTCACAAATCCTATTTTATGATATTTGTAAAGATTAGAAGTTGGAACTGTAGATCAAGCAAAAGTGTTCATAAATCTCAGTAATTTTTTTTTCTCAAATACTCATACGAGTGAACTTTGGCCAACGATCCCCACATTGTCTCCAAGACCCTTTCAGAAGATCCAGAGAGACATAAGTTTTATAATACTAGTGCAACACCATTTGCCTTTTCCACTGTTATTCTCTTAGGAATGTCCAGGGAAGTTTTCCATGCAGAGGCAGATCTGAGAATCCCACCATTTTCTATTATGCCTTCAGGAGAAACTGCTAAAGATGTAAAACAATGCCACTCTTTTCACTAAACATTATTTTTGTTTTGGAAATTATAATTACTTTTCACAGAGATATGCTTTTTATATAAGTATGCAATGGATTTATTAGTGCTAGTTTGTTCCTTTTTATTTACTTATTCACTTATTTTTGGTTGTGCGGGGTCTTCGCTGCTGCACCGGGCTGTTCTCTGTTGTGCTGAGTGGGAGCCACTCTGACGGTGCACAGGCTTCTCTTGCGGTGAGGCACCGGCTCCGGGTGATGGGGCTCAGTAGTTGCAGCACGTGGGCTTGGTGGTTGAAGCTTGCGGCCTCAAAAGCACGGCCTCATTAGTTGTGCAGCACAGCTTAGTTATTCCACGGCATGTGGAATCTTCCTGACCCGTGGGTTGAACCGGGTCCCCTGCACTGACAGGCGGATTCTCATCCACTGCACCACCAGGTAAGCCCTATTACTGCTAGTTTCACCTGGGTAAGTATTTTAAGGTGTTTCTATTTTAATTTCAAATTCAGTAAATGTCAAGAGAGATAACCCACATGGGCTTTCCCTGGTGGCTCAGTGGTAAAGAACCTACCTACCAATTTAGGAGACATGGGTTCCATCCCTAGGTCAGGAAGATTCCCTGGAGAAGGAAATGGTAACCCACTCCAGTATTCTTGCCTGTAAAATCCCATGGACCAGAAGCCTGGTGGGCTATGGTCCATGGGTTGCAAAAGAGTTGGATACGACTCAGTGACTAAACAACAACATAACCTACATAAACAAAGGGTCTTTGGGTCCCCAGCAAATTTTAGGAGTGCTAAGAGGTCCTGCGACTGAAAAGTTTGAGCGCTGCTAACGCAGGCCATGAACAGCCACATTATTAAAGCTTCCCAGGTTTACTCGGCATGTGTGGGCAGGCTGAGGCTTCTGTAAGGACGCTGCTGCTGCTGCTGCGAGATCAGCGCAGGAGGCGACTCGGAGTGAGAGTCCACCAGGGCCAGGCACTGTGCTAAGGGCCTCCCAGGAATCAGCTTATTTTGTCCTGGCAACGACCGCTCCATATTTTACAGTTGAGGAAATAGGCACAGAGCAGTCAGGTACTGTGTCCAAGATTCCACAGTCAGTAACAGATCTGAACCTAGGCACCCTGGCCCTAGAGTCTGCACTTTTTAACTACCAAGCTGTTTGCCACTCATTGTCTTTATATTTAACAGAGAAATCTGAGAATTAGCTTTAAGGAGGAAAAGAACTCACTACCCATCTCACTGCTAATAAAATTATCTCCATTGGAACATGAGAAAAGGAAGCTTTGTGTATGTTTCCAGAATCCACATGATGCCTACCTTAGTATAGACATGAATCCGGTCAGTATTCTTACTTGCACAAAACATCAGGGTGTCATACACTGGCCAAGCATCTGAACTCTTCAACTGTTCTAATGAAGAAGATAAAAAAGAACCTGAAGGCATATCTACCCTCTATCCAGAACAGCTTACTTTAATCCAGTGTGGGTTAGGATGATGAAAGAGTTGTATCAAATATATCAGCACATCTGACAAACACGTACCTGGGCGTGAAATAAAACATGGCAGGTGATCTAAGAGCATACTGGCTTATATGGTAACCAGTTGCTTTGGAACTTTTGCTAATGACCCAACAAGAAAAAAAAAAAAAAGAAATTCAGCATTTGCTTAAAAAAAGATAAGCATTAGGCATAAGGGAGAATTTCCTACCCTGAAAGAGTCCTTATCAGTCTTGAAGGAGTCTAGAATCTATTCTTATTGCTAGAGAGGGTTTAAGTTGAGACCAAATGAACACTATTTTGATTATCCACAGCAAGACTGCTATGTCGAGGGCCACTTAAATGACTGATGCCTTATGGCCTGGTGCCTCATATTCACAAAAGGAGATGAGTGAACAAGACGTCTTTCTCATCATCTCTGTTTGTTTTTTTCTCAGTCCTACTGACCAATATATTCTGCAGAAAGGATAGGGTTATCCAAGCAGATCTAAATAATAATTAGATAGCACTTACCAAGCACTTACAATGTGCCTGGTACTGGTCTAAGCACTTATATTAACACCTCTCAGAAACAAGTTGTGTCTCTTACAGAGGAGGGAAGCAAAGGCACATCAATCTGCCCAAGGCCACTGGTAACAGAGCCCAGTACTCTGGCTCCAGAGCCGATGCTCTTAACTTCTGCCATGGTTCCTCAGTGACCCTTTAAAGTATTTTTCCAGATCCACAAGTCTATGATTTATTTGCAGTACCATCTATTTGAATATTTCTAATCGAGACATCAGTCACTTTACAAACTTAGATTGTGGATTATCCCCATATTTCATACATTCAAAAATGTATGCTTTCCCCACACTTTAATAAATCTGAAATTGGCATGTCTTCCAGTCAACAGCCTTGGCAGTTTACAACTACGGTTGGCCAGGTGACAGTTGTAAGGTAGTTTTCACTGCCTGAGCATGAGCTTAGTCATAACTACAACACTGTTGTCACTTCGACACTACACTTGAGATATATGTATTGTCATTTCTGAGTGTTGATTTTGATTACCTTCAAAATGTCTTCAAAATGTTTTACTATGGCTTGGGATTGAAATGAAAAGTTATAATGTACACCAAAAACTTGCATACAGGATGAGAAAGCATAAATTTGTTATTAGAGAAGCAAACATGCATCACTAGAGGGATAACCAGTTACTGTGTCATAGCTTTCTTTCTTTCTTTTGGCTGCGGGTCTTCATTGCTGAGCAAGCTTTTCTCTACTTACGGCAACCAGGGGCCACTCTCCAGGTGCAGTGCGCAGGCTGCTTACTGGGTTGGCTTCTCGTGTGGAGCACAGGCTCTAGTCTATGGGCTCAAAGCTGTGGCACACAGGCTTAGTTGCCCCAAGACTCGTGGAATATTCCCAGACTAGAGATTTAACTTGTGTCCCCTGCCTTGGCAGGTGGATTGCTATCCACTACACCACCAGGGAAGTCCCATCTTTTAATAAGTGCCTATTATAATCATTGTCTCCAGATCTGAAGAACTATGGTTAATGCTTAAAGATCAGAAGTCACTCTTTGATAAAAAGCCTTATGAGAACAACTCCAAATCAGCTGATGTTTTTTGGTAGCCACTAGTTACATCAGGGAATGTAATTTTCATTTTTTTCATGAAGTATAATTTAATGGTTCCAAACACCGATAGTATCTTTTGAAGATACGGCCTTCCTTCCAGACCCTCAGAATTCGTTAGAATGAAGCTACAATTCCAGAGTGGTATACACCACTCTGGTTCTAAAAGAGCATACGTGGGTAGAAGAAGCATTTTACTATAATGTCCTTTCTCTTTCTTCTATTTTTCAAGGAAATCCGTGTTAGTGGGCAGATGTGAAGAATATCGCTTTTGCAGCCCAGCGATCTGAGAAGTAAAGAAAAAAAGAGGGAATAGGTATAGGGGAAAATACCAGCATTGTCTACAGGATGAGGCCAAGGCAAATTTCACCAGCAGAATAGAATTTCTAAAAGTCTAGTGATTTTTGAAAGGAATGTATAAGTAAAGCTAACATATGTCTTCATCAAGGGGCCAATTTGTAACTAACAAGCAAATATTTCCCTGCTGTAGATGGAGAGTCTCATGGCCCAGCTGATGACAACTGCCAGTCGCTGATTCTGGGTCTGACATTTTGTTCACTGACCTGGACACTGTCCGAGAGCAATGGTTTCATCCACACTGGGGCCAGTAGCACAGCACATACAAGGGAACTAGAGACAAAAAACCCGAGTCCAGATTGTCTGCTTAAAGGCCATTAGAATGAACAGACCTGAACAGAATCTATTGTGAGATAGTTTTGGGAAGACCTGGAGGAATTAGAGGAAATGAAAGCTGAGTACAGAAGAAAGGAAGATGCCTAGAGTTTAGAAATACTTAATACACATTTCATTTTAGAGCTATGAATCCAAGGCCAAATTATACCTATGTTTAACTTCCCTCGAGGCTCAGATGGTAAAGAATCTGCCTGCCAATGGGAAGAGCCCTGGGGAAGGGAATGGCACCCCACTCCAGTATTCTTGCCTGGAGAATTCCATGGACAGAGGAGCCTGGTGGGCTACAGTCCATGGGGGTGCAGAGTTGGATACGATTGAGCGACTAACACTTCTATTTTTTTAGAGCTATGAATCTAACCCTAGACTATATCTATGTTTAACAGCAACTAACTTAAAAGAAAAACTTTGACAATCCATCCCGAACACTTTGGGGTTGTTATAATGAGACATCAACCTGTGGGTTACTATGGTCACAAACTGAGTAACAAAGAAAATAACCCCACAGTAAACTCAAAATCTTTTGCCAGCTGGCGCACAAAGATTGTGAGGGATCACATACAGGTTGGTTTTTGCCAACCACTGCAGCCATAAATAATGAATGGAATCAATGAAAGAAGTAAATAAACCTGAGACACTACATGGTTGGTTGGTCCTCAACACAGTCATGATTCACATAGTCTTGAAATTATGTTCCTCAAAAACATTTTACTTAAAAAAACAACAACCCTCAAAACTCTAACTATAAAATATGCTGATTAATTGTAGCCGCTTAAAAGAAATTCACGTGTATGGGCTTCATGGTGGTCCAGTGGATAAGAGTCCGCCTGCCAGTGCAGGGGGACACAGGTTCGATCCCTGGTCTGGGAAGATTTTCACGTGCCGCAGAGCGATGACGCCCGCGAACCACAGCTACTGAGCCTGCACTCTTGAGCCTGCATGCTGCAACCACTGTGCCCATGTGCCTGCAGCCCGTTCTCCAGGGCACGAGGAGCCTCCGCAACAACAAGCCTGCACATCTCAACGGGGAGAAGCCCCAACTTGTTGCAACTAGAGAAAGCCTACATGCACCAACAAAGACCCAGTGCAGCCAAAAAGAATAAAAAATACAAGAAATTCACTTGTAAAGGATTAATGATCTCCTAAGTGGCTGTCGATCATCTGTCAATCTTATAGCATCCATGGTGTCAAAAAGAACCCCCAAATATCAAAACCATGCTCTCACTGCAAGAATGGGCCAGGCTTGGTGGAAGCTGGGCAACAGGCCGGAGACAGCACACGTAGCCCATATGAGTTTAGCTCTCTCTGTAACATCTGAATGCCAACAACTCTGCTTTTTTAGCCATCTGGTGTTTATGTATGTAGTTACAAACGGTTGGTATCTTTAATATAAAAGGGAATACAAGGAACCTGGAACAAGGTAGTAATAGCAAACCTATTAACAGTGTTCCACGTCTAAGCGTATGGTTATTACTTGGATCCTGGAAATGGAAACAAGACTTACCATCACCTGGCTGGGGGATGCGCCTGTCTTCACTCTCAACTTTTGAAATTTCTTCCTTGCTCTCAGCTAACAGTTCAGGTGCTGAATGTGCCAGGACTTGTTTCTCTCCGTCAGAACTAGTGTGAATTTTTTCGGAGGTGTCCTGAGAATCATCTTTCTCGTTTTTGTTTTTATTCTGGGTGTGGCTGAGGCTACCTATTTGTAGAAAAAATTTGTACAACAAACAAAATAATTTGAGCAAAACAAATAATTTACATTTATATTTAGCTAAAGTCATTGTATACCCTAAAGCCAGTACAGAAAGTAGAGTTTAAAAATGTCACAGCTGAGTGGTACAAAAAGAAACAAAGTCAACAACATCTGTTCATTCTTTCTAAACATGTCTTGGGGATCACCAAGTACCACTCTAGGTGCTGGAAAGGCAGAGGGAACAAGTCAGAAAGGTCCCTGCTTCCTAGAGATTCCATTCCAAAGGGCGGAGATAAACAGGCAAACAAACAGGATCTTTTCTGCTAAAGAGAATAAGTGAGTAAGAGGATGGGGTGGGAGGCTCCTTGGAGCTGAGAGCTGCTCAGGGATCTGGGAAGCCTGGCCCCAGGGGGCCTATATTCTTGGCTTAGAGCCTTAGTGTCACTGGAGGCCATTAAAGGGTTGTAAGCACAGGAATGTAATGATCTGTTTTTAAAGCATCCCTCCATCTGCTGTGGAGAGAAGGACCAGCCAAAAGGAGGCTTCAGAGAGAGAGATGCTGGTGGCTTCCAGTGTGATGGTAGCAATGAAGATGTGGTGACTGGAATCAAGGTACTTTGTAAAGGCTATATTAGCAGAACTTCATGAGGATGGGAGGAAAAATCAAAGATGCTGCCTCCAGGTTTTTAGCACAATAGGGGAAGACAGGGGAAGAGAAACTTTGGTGTTAGATGTAGTGACTGTAAATCAAGAATTCCATTTTGGACATGTTAAACTTGAGGTACCCCTTAGACATCCAGGTCTAATGTAGGTCACTGAATACATCCAATCTGGAATTCAAATGAGAGATACAAATCTGGGAGTATGAAGTATAAGATGCAGAGGATAAGCAATAGATGTTAAGAACAAAGTACAAGAGAAATGTTACATACTGACAACTCTAATGATCAATGCTTTTGAATTGTGGTGCTGGAGAAGACTCTTGAGAGTCACTTGGCCAGCAAGGAGATGAAACCAGTCAATCCTAAAGGAAATCAACCCTGAATATTCATTGGAAGGATTGATGCTGAAGCTGAAGCTCCAATACTTTGGCCACCTGATGAGAAGAGCTGACTCACTGGAAAAGATCTTCATGCTGGGAAAGATTGAAGGGAAAAGGAGAAGGGGATGACAGAGGATGAGATGATTGGATGCCATCACTACTGACTCAATGGACATGAATCTGATCAAACTCTGGGAGACTGTGAAGGACAGAGAAGCCTGGAGTGCTGCAGTCCATGGAGTCACAAAGAATCAGGCACAACTTGGAGACTGAACAACAGCAAGTATTCAATGTACATTACAGCAAATTTCAGCTAACCTACTAGAGACCACTAGTTAGCAACTTTATAAGACTTTCCAGTCCTGTATCCTAACATCCCTCATTTAATGTTTTGGATTCACTGTTTCCTCAAAGTGTTATGTGGCAGGTATTGATTTTAAAATTTAGATGAATTGGATGGAATTCTGCTTTTTAATACTTTTGGGATGCATCCAAATCAAGGTTGAAAATTATTATGTCAAACTGTAGTAGTATTAATCTAATAATAAACTATCATATATGGTAATATCACTGTTACTTGGAATATGTATTGTTCTTAAATCAGATTGTTTCATATTCACAAAAGGTGTTTTGTTTTTTTAGACTGCTTGACAGTTTGCTAATTAAATCATGGTTCTAGAAATCTTCACTGTTGCTCTTGGTATCATAAAGAAAAATCAGAACTTATAAAACCCTATTAAACCATAATTTTTATTGCTCAGTCATTCAATTTATAGACTTTGTGTGAACTAATATTATTTTGTAGTCACAAGATACTTTATTTTTATTGCCTATAGCAGTTGGAAATTGAATGAGATAATGCAAATTATGGGAGATATTATATGGGATAAGCTTGTGGCTCCAATTTAGTTCATAGACAACAGGTGTCCACGTTACAAATATAATCACCCAGATGGCAGACTTGTCAGTTTTGGGAGGAACACCCAGAATCAAAGGAGGAAAGACTCAGCTACTGATTACATTTTCTTTCAGATCAAAATTAAGGCAGAGGAGAGCAAGGCAAGCAGGAAGGAGCTGGAGCATTAGAGCTTCTATCTTTGCTGAGTTTCTGTTAATGTCAAGACTCTGAAGAATTCACATATGATGGGGAAGTGTGTATAATCATTACACACTTTGATAAGATTTAATTTATAATTTCTTCTAGTTTCCAAAACCATCCACTTGGCATTTTTAGTTACCATAAAAGTGGTGTCTAAAATTGGAAACAAAGAAATACTGATGATGTTTTCTTAAGACAACCACAGTTGTTAATAATCATTTCAAAAATAAAACACCAGAAAATGGCATATCACGCAAGCAAAACATACTCTGAGGTATGTTTATGATTTCTAGTTTTAAATAGCATGTTTTAGAAAAGGATAAACTCATAAAACAGAAGTGAGATTTGGTTTTTAAAAGAAGATCAATAGAGGAATTTTTATGATTTGTCATGGGAGAAACACAACACAATAAATATTTCAGTAGGCGAAGAAGCTACACTGGATTCATTCTGCTATTTAAACAAAATAATCTACAATTTCTTTAAAAACAAGTATTATCTACAGAGGAAAGAAAACAGCAGGTCTATGGCTATAAGGCATATTTGCTGCCATAGCAACAGAGCTTCTATTCCTGCCCACTGAATGCACATCCTGCTGGCATTAATCAGAAATGTCCCTTTGTGCCAAATTAATGCCATGCCACAGACGCGAGGGATATACATTCTTGACAGAACTGGGAGCTTTTCACATTCCACAAGGGGATAAAATCACAGTCTCCGCTACGTGAAGCTCTTCCTCCAGCTTAAAAGCTGAAGTCGGAACCCAGTCATGGATCTCTGGTGACAGCAGTTGTCTCTAAACACACAGGCTATCTGAAGACACCACGGCTACCCGCCTCGTGGTCGCCCTCCACGTACTCACCAGCACGGGCCCGCGGACTCTCACACATCTCGCAGTGAGGTGACGCCGAATCATTGATGTAGGTGCAGAGAGCACACTGCCAGCCCTCCCCGCGAAGGCCTGGGGTGGTGGCCTGGGCCTCGGCCTCACAGGCCCCAACCGCGAGCCGAGCTTCGGCCTGCCCAGGCCGGCATGGTTTCTCATAGCAGTTGGAAATTGAATGAGATAATGCAAATTATGGGAGATATTATATGGGATAAGCTTGTGGCTCCAATTTAGTTCATAGACAACAGGTGTCCACGTTACAAATATAATCACCCAGATGGCAGACTTGTCAGTTTTGGGAGGAACACCCAGAATCAAAGGAGGAAAGACTCAGCTACTGATTACATTTTCTTTCAGATCAAAATTAAGGCAGAGGAGAGCAAGGCAAGCAGGAAGGAGCTGGAGCATTAGAGCTTCTATCTTTGCTGAGTTTCTGTTAATGTCAAGACTCTGAAGAATTCACATATGATGGGGAAGTGTGTATAATCATTACACACTTTGATAAGATTTAATTTATAATTTCTTCTAGTTTCCAAAACCATCCACTTGGCATTTTTAGTTACCATAAAAGTGGTGTCTAAAATTGGAAACAAAGAAATACTGATGATGTTTTCTTAAGACAACCACAGTTGTTAATAATCATTTCAAAAATAAAACACCAGAAAATGGCATATCACGCAAGCAAAACATACTCTGAGGTATGTTTATGATTTCTAGTTTTAAATAGCATGTTTTAGAAAAGGATAAACTCATAAAACAGAAGTGAGATTTGGTTTTTAAAAGAAGATCAATAGAGGAATTTTTATGATTTGTCATGGGAGAAACACAACACAATAAATATTTCAGTAGGCGAAGAAGCTACACTGGATTCATTCTGCTATTTAAACAAAATAATCTACAATTTCTTTAAAAACAAGTATTATCTACAGAGGAAAGAAAACAGCAGGTCTATGGCTATAAGGCATATTTGCTGCCATAGCAACAGAGCTTCTATTCCTGCCCACTGAATTCACATCCTGCTGGCATTAATCAGAAATGTCCATTTGTGCCAAATTAATGCCATGCCACAGACGCGAGGGATATACATTCTTGACAGAACTGGGAGCTTTTCACATTCCACAAGGGGATAAATTCACAGTCTCCGCTACGTGAAGCTCTTCCTCCAGCTTAAAAGCTGAAGTCGAAACCCAGTCATGGATCTCTGGTGACAGCAGTTGTCTCTAAACACACAGGCTATCTGAAGACACCACGGCTACCCGCCTCGTGGTCGCCCTCCACGTACTCACCAGCACGGGCCCGCGGACTCTCACACATCTCGCAGTGAGGTGACGCCGAATCATTGATGTAGGTGCAGAGAGCACACTGCCAGCCCTCCCCGCGAAGGCCTGGGGTGGTGGCCTGGGCCTCGGCCTCACAGGCCCCAACCGCGAGCCGAGCTTCGGCCTGCCCAGGCCGGCATGGTTTCTCTTCAGGGGGCCTGCAAGGGTCATCAATGGTGACCGATTTCAGTTTTTTAGCTTCAGGTGCAAGATCGCTTTCATCATCTCTTGTAGCTGTTTTTCCAGGGTCTGCTGGCACTACAGTATTTTTCTGCTGGGATACCCTTGATTCATCACAGGAGGTCTCCAACTGTCTTTTCTTAGTGTTTGGTAAAAAGAATGATCGAATATCACGCTGTTTTTCTTTTTCAAACTAGGAAAAAACAAAGTTATTAAATTAAGAGGCCATTGAGTGTGTTCTTCCTAAATGAAATAGCTTAACAAACTTGTCATTAACCACATTCCTCTATCTTTTGAATACCCTATTGGAAATGAATTCAATCCTGCAATGACTCTTCACATATACATGTATGTAGAATACCACTACTGTCTCCATAGACTTTGTGTCTAACTTTTTTTTAGCACTTACAATGTGTGAAGCATTCTGTGCATATTAACTCATTTAATCCTCATGCTAGCTCTGTGAGGCAGGTACTATTACTCTTCCCAAATTTCAAATCACAACACTAAAGCATTAGAGAAGTTAGGTCACTTGGCTATAGAAGTCATATAATAAAAATATACTTTGACCTCTAGATGTATGTCAGGGAAAGGAAGCAATTGTGTGTTTAAATATTTCAAGTCAATCAAGACTTAAAAAATGTTTTCATGCCCAAACTATAAACACAAACAATGTTCATAAACAATATATTTTTCATATTAAGTTTCCTGACCAAGGAATATTTTCAAATAGCAGTAAAGATATGAATTAGAACAGCTTCTTTAATAGACATAGTTAATTTATTTTTTCCACATTTCTTTTTAGACATAGTTTAATAATTATCTTGTTTCTAAGAAACAGATTTCTCTTTTCCAAAAGCAGCAACTTCATGATCTCATGCTTTTCATCTTCTTTTTGATGTGTAAATTTCAACCTCCTAATTAAGAGAAAGGAGAATAGCCATTTCCACAGCTGATCAGCCAGCAGTTAAGGTAAATTAAAGGAGTTAATTTTAGAGAAGTCCTGCTAAGGCCTGAATTGGGTACATGGTGGACACATGCTGTGGCAGACTGTACTTCCAAAAATGGCCATACCAATTCTTATCCCATTTCACACACTTGTCTCACAGTGTCACACTGACACACCCACATTTAGAGGTGGGGTCTGTGTTCCTTTCCCTAGAACCTGGGTGGACCTTTGTAACGGTGTCTGTTGACAGGATGTCGTGAAAGCATCACTGTGTGTCTTCTGAGGCTTGGTCACTGATGCTAACAAGGCTTCTGGCACTCTCCTTCTTATCTTTCAGGAGGGGCCCTAGCCTTTGGGACACAGCCTCCACGTTGTGGGGAAGCCCAGGCCACACTGGAGAAACCATATGTCGGTATTCAACTTGACAGCCGCACATGGGCCCCCCAGTGACAGTCAGACGTGTGAGTGAAGCAGCTTTCAGATTCCAGTTCCCAGTCTTGGGATCGTCCAGCAAAGGCCCCACTTCTCAGGGAGCAGACATGTCATCTCCACTGTACCCTGTGGATTCTTATCCACAGAAACCATGAGAAAAAATACACAACTATCATTGTTTTAAGGCACTAAGTTTTGGGGTAAATTGTTATGCCACAATAGATTACAGATACTATAGTGACATCCAAATATTGCAAAGGAAAAGCTTACATAATAATTCTTATCTGTATTCTTTAGTTAGTGCTGAATATGAAAGATTTAGCAAATTAATCAAGACAGAAGGAATAGTGGTTACTGGGAGCTGTGAGAAAGGGAAAAAGAAGTTACTGCTAAAAGGTTATGGAGTCTCTGTATGGGGTTTGAGAACACTGATGTCAGTTTCACAACACTGGGAATGTAATTAATGTCACTGAATTATACACTTAAAATGGTTAAGATGGAAAATTTTATAATAATGCACATAATCACAAATATTTTAATTTCAAAAAAAGGAAAAAAGGTAGGAAGAGAAGAAGGAATATTTATGTTGTTCCTATACTGGTATAATTAAAACATATATTTTAGGAAAAAAGTCCTCCTCAATAATGTACAACTTTGATTTTGTATGACTACTATTTATATACTCATATACTATTACAAAGTTATCTAATAAGTTGTGGAAGTTACAGAATTTAGACAAAAATATAAAGAATGAAATCAACCATGAGACAAGATTTTTAAAACCATGCACAAGAGAAATTCTAAGAAAAGGGTGGAGGAAAGCAGGTAGATTATCAGACTCATGGAGTTTGGTGTTAAAAAAGTAACAAAGAAACAAATATAGTTACACATTTAAAGAGAATGTTCTATTTTATACAACAGCACTGCAAAGAGAACTCCTGGAACTTTGAAAATACTGGCAAATGTTTAGCAAATGTGAACAAATTCTACCAGCTATTTCTAGTTAAACGACAATGATTTTTACAAGAGAGGTTAACTTTCTGAGTCCTTGTACATGTCTCGAAATGACCTGATTTTGCCCTAACTCTTTCTAGTTTTGTTGGGCAAACAATTCTCTAAAATCTTTGAAGAAATTGCTCTATTTCTTCCAACATCTGCTGATACTGACAATGCTCCTTTGTAGTTGCAAACTCTTTCTTCATTTTATAGAGGCTTTTGGAACCTTCTTTTCATCCCTGGTATTCTAAAATTTCACAATGATCTATGTCTATATATCTCTATCTGTGTCATCTGTATCTATATGATTTTTGCTCAGCACCTAGGATGCTCTATTAATTTTGTATAGTATTGATCATCTCTAGTTCTTGGACATTTCTATTCTTTTTTGATAGCTTTTCCCTCTTCATTTCCTCTCTTCTGCTTTTCTGGAATTCCTGCTAGCAGAATGTTGGACCTGGACACTGATGTCACCTTTTACTTTCATATTTTCCTTCTTTGTGTCTTTTACCCTCTAAACATATTTAGCTCTATTTTATCTTTCAGTCCTTCCATAAGATTATTTTAGTTTGGCAGTCATATTTTTAACATGCAAAATTTCCCTCTTGTTCCTTTCTCATAGTATTTTGATTTTATTTGTAGGTGCAGTATCATCTCAAATCTGAAGATACAAATTAGTCTTTTAAAGTTAACTCTAGGATCAATTTTTGTACTAGTTTATTTTGTTCACCTTTTCCACACCACAGATTTCCTTCTCAAATGTCCAATGACCTCACACAGAAGAGCGATGGAATAGGAGGGCCACCTGGGAACTCAGGACACATGGGCTTATCAACAAGAAGACCTGCTAGGACGTAATGATTGAACGGGAGGGGTGAGGAGGACGGAAGGGACTTCAGGGCTCCTCAGACTCCTAAATTTCTGACTTATGACACTGTATGGGTGACATTTTCAATTATCATAACAGGGAATATAGGAAGATAAATGGGCTTATTACTGTCTCATTATCTTAGAATAGAAAGCAAAAAGAGAAGAGATAAGGAAATAAAAGTTTACTTTTAGATATGTATGAGGACTGGTGGGTGCCAGGGTGGTGAATTCCAGGAAGCAGGTCCACAGCTGAAGGGAAAGAAACATCTGGGTGCATGTGTGGGAACCAGTGACAAGCAGAGGTGGTTCCAGTCAGAGGCCTGGATGTCATGAACAGAGGAGGAGGAGGTAAGAAGTCATGGACGGAAACCAGAGGGGTGTTAAGAGTGGAATGAGGAGGAAGAGATACCAGGGAAGGAAACAGCAAGACAGTAAGAAGGGTGGAAAAGCCAGAGATCAGTGGCTTTAGTGTGATCCTGTGTTTTGGTTTCTACTCATGATCCCAAGCACTCAGAAGAACCCATGTCCTTCAGATGTTTTTAATCAGATCTGGGAGACTTTCTTATATTTTCCCCCTCTGCTTTCCCTCTTATTTCTGGCATTTCTATTACGGGAAATCTTCTGAACTGATCATTTGACTTTCTTTACTTTTTCTCACATTTTTTCCCCACCTCTATTGTTCTACTTTCTGTGTGATTTCCTCATTATCTTCCTTTTTGTCATTGTCAGATTATTATTTTCTGATGTTACAGGTTCACTTTCTAAGAGCTTTTCCTTGTTCTTTGATTATTCCCTTTCCTTATTCCTGTTTTGTGGGTGCAATACTTTTACTTCTTGTGAATATGAATGGAAGGTTTTTTGTTTTCTTCAGTTCAGTTCAGTTCAGTCACTCAGTCCCAACCCCTGGAGGATGAGTTGTTAATCTGAATTTTTTTCAGCCTGAGAACTTGGGACACAGCTCAGGGCTCCGTGTGTCCCGGAGGTCTGGTCCTCTTGGACCGTGTCTCCACCAGAAGCGAGCCCTGTAATCTTCTCCGCTGCTCACTCTGGGGTGAGAAGTAGGAAGTCCCATTGTGGCCTTGGGTTTTGGCTGGTTTCTNATGCAGCTCTATGCTAGGTAATGTTAGGAGCACAGAAAACTCTATCATAGGTGATTTGGGGAATTAGGAACTTGATTAGGTGATTGTGGGGACCCATGAAATAATACCTGGGGTGATGGTGGTAGACCAGGAAACTAGTGTGTGTTTGTGGGGGCCAGGAAACTCTCCATAAGTGGGTTTTTCTGGACCCACATCTCTAACTCATGGAACTTATGTGGCCCAGGAAATAAATCCCGGATGAGACTCTTGTTCAGTTGCTCAGCTGTGTCTGACTCTCTGCAACCCCATAAACGGCAGCACACCTGGCTTCCCAGTCCTTCAATAGGCTTGCCCAGACTCATGTGTGTTGAGCCAGTGATGCCCTCCACCCATCTCTTTTGTTGTCCCCTTTTCCTCCTGCCCTCAGTCTCTTCCAGCATGGGGGTCTTTTCTTTTTTATTTATTTTAATTGGAGGCTAATTACTTTACAGTATCATGGTGGTTTTTGCCATACATTGACATGAATCCACCACGGGTGTACATGTGTCCCCATCATAACCCTCCCTCCCACCTCCCTCCCCATCCCATCCCTCAGGGTCATCCCAGTGCACCAGCCCCGAGGACCCTGCCTCATGCATTGAACCTGGACTGGCGATCTATTTCACATATGGTAATATACATGTTTCAATGCTATTATCTCAAATCATCCCACCCTCGCCTTCTCCCACAGAATCCAACAGTCTTCTTTACATCTGTGTCTCTTTTGCTGTCTCGCATGTAGGGTCATCATTACCATCTTTCTAAATTCCATAAAAATGTGTTAATATACTGTATTGGTTTTTTTCTTTCTGACTTACTTCACTCTGC